CCTCCCTCACCCTGCTGGCCACGCACCTCTTAATTTCATCTTTTCCGTGTGTGTTGCAGCAATCCGTAGGGCTGTGCTGCGTTACCTGCCTGGGCTTTGAGTCCACGCCAGGGACACACGAGCCCAGTGGCTGCCCGGGGGCTGGAGCCTGGCAGGGAGAGGGCTCCAAGGGCCGTCGCGGGATTTAAGAGCGGCACAGAGGCTGAACTTTGTTCCTCTCTAATCTCCTCTCTGTTATCCCCACAGAGAGATACTCCAAGAAATTCAGCGTCTCAGGCTGGAGCATGAACAAGCCTCTCAACCCACTCCCGAGAAAGCGCAGCAGAACCCAACTTTACTGGCTGAGCTCCGGCTGCTACGGTAAAAGGGGCATCCAAGGCTCACGTGTGTTCAGTCCTGGGGCCGGGGAGCTTGGGCTGGTCCTGGGGAAAGCGTCTCTTCAGCAGCCTTAAAGTGTTATTTAAACTGCTGAAGACAGTGGATTTTTACGTGGATTTAGAAGTAAATAAAAACGTCTTTTGAAATTAGTTCTGTTTGTGTGACTCTGAAAACCGTAAAGAAGAAACTGCTAGGAAAAGCTAGCAGGGATGAACCACCTATCGTTTATTGTCCAAGGGAGTAAAGATGGGGATGAAACGTCAGTTATTCGATTAGTCAGCAAACTCCAAAAGTTCATACCTGCGCAGTCAGCCGTGCATCCAAACTTGGAGAACAGTCTTTAAAGCCTCTTTGGTTACGTTTGAATTTTGAAGCGGCGGGGGAGAACTGTCAGCATTTATAGAATAAAGGGTTTCATCATCCGGGTAGTCACAAGGGCATTCTCTGGCTGTACTCTGTTTCATCTTCTATTAGCAGTTAATTCCAAGCTCACCCTTCAGAAATGCCATCTGTCTGGTCTAAAATCTAAGCTGGTGGCAGCAGCAGCTCGGTGCGGGCTGCCTCGTGTTTCATTCGCTGGGGCAAACCCTGCCTGCCCGCTGAAGATGTGGCAGCAGTGGTTGGGCTTGACAAGTTCTTCATGAAGGACACAGCTCTTGGCACGCTCACAGGTTCTCCATGAAGGTCACTGCTCTTGGGGTGGAGCTATGACAACCGCAGACAATGTCTGCAAGGGGTAACAGAATCTGCAGAATCTGAGACTTCCAACTTCTTTCGTTACTTTTTCATACGGAGTTTGCACGTTTTGGTATTTTTCATTCTGTGACCTAATGATAACAGATCATAGATTCTCTAGCTTCACGCTTTGCACAGACGTTTATATTTTTTTCAAAATGCTTAAGAAACTGGAGAAAATGCAGAAGACACCCGCAAATTCTATGAAGAAGGTGGGGAAAAAAAAAAGCCATTACGAGGCAAATGGATGTATTGTTTCACCCGCTTGAGAAAGGTAAAACAAAACCCAAGAGCTTAAACTGGATCCAGATGCATCCAGACCACAGATAAAGCCCAAATCAGTAATCCCAAGAGCAGTGATCGAGTTTTCAGTCCCTAGATGCCTTTCCTGAAGATTTTTTCTCCAAGAATCCAAGTTATTTGGGACAGAATAGAGTTAACCAAGGGGAAAAAAAAACACACCAGCAGCAAAAGAAAAAAAAAGCTGAATGATCATAGAGTCCTAGAACGTCTTGGGCTGGAAGGGAGCTCAGAGATCCTGTAACCCAGCCCCTGCCATGGGCAGGGACGCCCTGAACCAGCCCAGGTTGCTCCAGGTTCATCCAACCTGGCCTACTGACCCGCGGTGCGGGCCAGCCACAGCCCCTCTGGGCAATCTAGTCCAGAGTCTGGCCACCCTCGCACGCAAGAATTTCTCCCTCAGATCCCAGCGAAACCCATTCTCCTGCAGTTTCAGCCCATTTCCCCTTGTGCTGTCGCTGGACACTCTTGTACCCAGTCCCTGCCCAGGCTCCCTGCAGGTTCCCTTCAGGCACTGCAGGCAGGGATAAGGTGCCCCCGGAGTCTGCTCTGCTCCAGCTGCACAACCCCAGCTCCCGCAGCCTGTCCTCGCCGCAAAGCCGCCCCAAGCCCCGGGTCATCCCTGTGGCCTCCTCTGGGCTCGTCCCAACAGCTCCGTGTCCCTCTCATGGTGGGGACACCAGCACTGGACGCAGTGTTCAACGTGGCCGTTTCTGGCCTCCAGACATTCAAATCCCACTGGCAAATACGGTCCCAGAAGGACCATGGAGCAGGTGAGGCTGTGTCTGGGGTGGGTGTTTGACACATTCTGGGTGACCGCGGTGTGTAACCTCCTCTTCACTGCCTTACCTTGGGGATGTGTTGCAGCATTTGACAGCCGCATTCTTTAAAGTACAAAAGGCTGTAGAAAGAATTACCCAGGATAGTTAATGCTTTGCAGACTTCTCTTGAGAACCAGCCTCAAAACAGGTTAAATCTGTGTCACATGAGAACACAGAGACAATCTAAGGCATTTAAATATTCAGTCTGTGACATGTGGTGCCTTCAGCTTTAGGTTAAGACCTGATGTTCCCAAAAATCACTGCAGATGAATAAATAAAGTTTTAATAGGGTGGGTTTTTTCCTAGTTATTTGTCATTACCTGTGACTGGGACTTTTGGGGCCCAGCATTTCTCGAATCACGTCAGCCACTGAACTTCCGACGCGCTGACGTTTGCCTTTGAATCTCTCCTTGTGTGAGTCACTTCTTTATTTTATTTTTTTTAAAGTATAAAATAAAACCAAACAGTCCTGTTTCCTTAAATATCTGCCAGAGGGCCATCTGCAGAAATGCAGTGGTTGTCTGATGCCAGGGAAAGGGAAGGTCACTTCTTGTCTCCTTTCCTTGTTACCTGGGTTCTGGTGGAGGAAATCTGTCAAAGCTCACGCGTCATGTTGGTGACAGAAATAGCTCTGCCGAGGCTCCGTCCAGGCTGGGCACGGCTTTTCCTTTCCGAACATCTGCAGCCTTTTCTCCTCTGCTGGTTTCTTTTATTATTAATATTTTTTGGTCTCTGCCTTTCCTCCTTTCTTCCCATCCTTCATTCTTGTCTGAAAGCTCTGCAGGGGTCTGGGTCGGACATTAAGAGAGGAAGAAAAAAGATGCCTTTTTTTTTTTTTCTTACCCCTCAAAATGCAATGATCTTGGAAAGGGCTTCCTCCTCCCAAGGTGCTGAGTGCGGGTTCCTGGGTTTTCAGTGAAATGCCTGATTGTTATCTATAGGTTTCATGGTCATTTTACTGTGGTTTTTTTAAAAAAATGGGGGGAGGAGTGATGAAAAGCAAAGACACGGGTAGATGGTGAATTTCCTGAAGCTGAGTTCCCTTTCTGACTCTTTCTTTCATGTCACCTGAACAGCCAGAGGAAGGATGAGCTGGAACAGAGGATGTCTGCCCTGCAGGAGAGCAGAAGAGAGCTGATGGTGCAGCTGGAAGGGCTCATGAAGCTGCTCAAAGTAAGCCAGCTCCCGCCAGGAGCGCGCGTCCCTCCCTGCCCCGCGTCGGGAATTGCTGCCCCGAGATTCCCGCTCGCCTGTCGCACTGTTGTAAATGCTTCGTCAGGAGTAGAAAGAATTTGCAAAAAGGCTTCTCCGTGCTGGCTCTGTGTGTTGGCACAGATGGGGTTTCATGTGCGTGTGGTGCTGCTTTGGTTAAAATATCCCAAAACCATAAGATTTGGAAGGCTTTGGGTTCCTGATGAGGGTCTGTTACTGTTTTTCATAGAGTCCTGCTAAATTTGGGCTCGTGGTTGGTGACTGCAGTCTGAAATGGATGTGCTGGAGCGTGTCCAGAGAAGGGCCACGAGGATGCTCAGAGGCTGGAGCAGCTCTGCTGTGCAGACACACTGAGAGAGCTGGGGCTGTTCACTCTGCAGAAGAGAAGCTCCCAGGAGACCTTTTGGTGCCTTCCAGGATCTCCAGGGGGCTACAAGAAAGCTGGGGAGGGGCTTGTGAGGGTGTCGGGCAGTGACAGGACTAGAGGGAATGGATTGAAGCTGGAGATGGGTCGGTTCAGAGGGGACGTGAGGAAGAAGTTCTTCCCCAGGAGGGTGGGGAGACCCTGGCACAGGGTGCCACTAGAGGGGGTTGCATCCCCATCCCTGGGAGTTTTTCAGGCCAGGCTGGATGGGGCTCTGGGCGGCCTGATCTCGTGGGGGATGTCCCTGCCCGTGGCAGGGGGTTGGAACTGGATGAGCTCTGAGGTCCCTTCCAACCCTGACAGTTCTGGGATTTTATGAAATATTATCGTGCGCTTACGCTTTCCGTTCTTTAAATTGGACAAGAGCCTCTCCGTGAAATCAACAGCAAAACGTTGTCCTTACTCAAAGAGGTTTTGGTCTAAGGCAAGGTGGAACAAAGGGAAGGGGCAGAAAGGGGAGGGAGATCATGGCAGGAGCGGCACAGGGTTATGGATTAGCTCCAGGCACAGTTTCGTAGCTCCAGAGGAACTCGGAGCCGGTCTGCTCTTGGAAGTGATAATGGATTCACATCGTCTGTACATCTCAAGTGCGGTCGCTCTTCAGGTTGGGCTCGTGTTCTGTGGTAGGAACATGTCTGCACGGGGCTGTGAGCAAATTCTCTCCGGAGGGGCCTGTTGTGTTTAGTCTCCCTGTGCCGGTGAGCACGCGGTCGCTATCAGTAGGAGGGGAAGTCAATTTTTTAGTCAGTGGTTCTGCACGTTGTGTTTTTTTACCCTGTTCAGCTCATTATTGCCTGCTAAATTCATTTGCTAAATTCATCTCGATTTCTTCAGACGCTAAACCTTTGTGAGCTGAAGTGCAAAAGCGGGCACCCAAAACTGAATTACAGATTTAGGAAAGCGTAGGATGTCGTGTGAGAAATGGTTTGATTCTTTGTGGTTCAGGTGACCACGTTCTGAGCAGATTTCTTGCACGCGTCTGAGGAGCCTCTTTACACCACCAGCACCTTGGATATCTGCCCTGACGTGACGACGAGCTCTGGTGGGAGTTCTCTGTAGAGCCTGTTGTCTTCAAAGCACTCAAAAGACACCAGAAATGAGTTGTCCCAGGCATGACTGATGTAAATGATGATTAGGGGACTGGAACATCTCCCTGGGGAGGAAAGGCTGAAGGAGCTGGGGCTCTGCAGCTGGAGAAGAGGAGCCTGAGGGGTGACCTCACTCATGGTTATAAATACGTCAAGGAGGAGTGTCAGGGGGACGGAGCCAGGCTCTGCTCAGGGATGTCCAGTGACAGGACAAGGGGTGATAGATACAAGCTGGAGCACAGGAGGTTCCACAAAAACATCAAGAAAAACTTTGTGAGGGTGCCAGAGCCCCGGCCCAGGCTGCCCAGAGAGGGTGTGGAGTCTCCTGCTCTGGAGGTGGCACTTGGGGACATAGTTTAGTGGTCACGGTGGTGTTGGGTTGACGGCTGGACTCGGTGATCTTAGACGTCTTTTCCAACCATAATGATTCTGTGATTCAATGATTCCTCTTGCCCGGCTGGTTGGACACGTGGAGGTGGTGGCGTTGTGTGGAGCGGGAAGGGACGTCAGCGCCAGTGACGCACCGAGGAGGAGAGCACGGAGGGTTCTGCGAGGTGGCACGGAGCGAAGAGAGCAGGAGCTCAGGGAGGGGGGGTTGCGGCAGAGCGGAGGGAGCCAGGGCTGACTCACGTGTGATAAACGATGTATTTAGGGCTCACTCATTAAGCTGAGTCATGCCGCTCAATTATGAGCTCGACAGAAACTTGGATGATACCCTCTAGGCTGTATGACACAAAACCTTTTGTATCATACAGCCTGGGAGTCTTATAAATGGAAAGTCGAGTAAGAACCAGCTTCTCTTTGGAAAGCTTCTTCTGTTTAGAAGCTGGCTCTTACTAGACTTCTCATTTATAAGACTAATATCTTTTAATTAACTCCCCCAGTTCCCAAAATAATCTACAAACTATAAGGGCAGATAAAAACTGTCTGTAAGGGGAAACTTCTTCCCCGCCGGGATGCTTGAGCGGTGGAGCAGGGCCCCGAGAGCTTGTGCTGTCTCCAGCCTTGGAGGTTGCCAAGACCCAGGAGGAGAAGCCTCTAAGCAACCTGCTCTGAGATTAACGTCACCTGGTTCTGAGCAGGAGGCTGGACTTCAGGTCCCTTCCGACCTGAACGATCCTGCGAGCCCGGAGCCGTTGGAATTATCTGGATCTACGTGTTGCGTAATGCGGTTTCGTTGCATTTCCCCTTCTTGGCTTTCTCTGGAGCCTGGCATCTTCTCTCTGATTAAAGCATCTTCCAGAAAGACATCTGCTCTTCAGCTGAAGAAATCAGAAATGGAAAATTCACTGCCAATGCAAATTTATGCCTCATTTTCAGTTTTAATGCGTTCAGCTTCACTTTACACCCGTTGGCTCTGGTACGTGTGGTTCTCCTTCCATTAAATCGAGGCGGACTCCAGCACCCCTGGTTCTTTCCTACGCAGATACTTACTCATCTCAACGAAAGCACTTCTCAGTCTTCTTTTTCAAGTCAGTTAAGCAGGTAGAGCTTTTCTGAGCTTCTCACAATACTGTGCTGCAGTATTTTTTACCATCAAGTTCTTTGCCTTCTCCTGATTTCTAAACTAATTTTTTAATTGGGGGGGGGACAAAACCCAAGCCATATGTTGAATTCTTCTCCGAATCTTAGCAACCCTGTGCAGAGGAACGGGAGGAGCTGCATTACGCTGTTTTCCTTTCTGTGCCTTTCTGCACCACTGAGGACTTCTTGACAGCTGTCCGTTACTCAGCGCTTACTCCGTGTGTAGTGCCGTAGTTATTTGGTGCGGCGCTAACGGCTCAGTGACCGTGCGTTACAGGTCTGGCTTCTAAAGGAACTGCAGATTTGAAAGTACATTACACCCATGCGGCTCCTTTAGAAGCCAAACTTGCAACACATTCGAATAAGACAATCAGATTTATTTTGGCCAGACCTCTTTTCCATGAGGTTACAGCGCTTCGTGTAGCACTTATTAGTTGAGTCTCAATTCAGCGGTTCTGTCACTTCGAATGAATTAATGGCAGGATGGGATGTTTGTGCTGATTTAAGGTGTCTTGCCTCCCTTGTTGAATATCGGGGCGACACAGCACGCTCCAGTCCTGGCTATTCCAAGATCTGTTAAGAATCGCCTTCTCTGGGCCAGGTAATTCCTCAAGGAATTATTCTAAGAATCCCAGCTGCAAGCTAGCGAGACCTGCTGATCTAAAAATGTATTTTCTAGTAGAGGCTTTTTATCACCTTTTCTCATAATTGGTGGAAAGCACTTCACTGTTTCCTGATAGAAACTACAAGGGGAAAGTACTCTTAGTTAGGAGTACTTAGTTAAGAATGACTCTGGAGAAGCAGCATGCACCTCCTTGAGGCTTTGCTTTGTTTCTGATATTTGTGTTCCTTTCAAAGTCCCCTTTTTTGGTGGTTTTTAGCCCTGCCAGACATGAATTTTTCCTGCAAGGTTTTAGCTTCTCTCATCATTTGGTGCACTTCAGAAATTTTCATTTCTGATTTAAATCAGCTGTTAAGCTTTTGTGGGATTTTTTTTTTCCATTTTCTTCTGCGGTATTTTTTACATTTTTAATGCTTGCCTTCATTTCACCATTTAGAGCTGGATTCAGCTTTACCAACCTTCGTTATCTGAAGGTTTGGTACCTCGGCTTCCTCTGTGAATAAAGGAGAGGGGTGTTCTCTGGAATCACTGAATCACTGAGATTGGAAAAGCCCTCTAAGACATCAAGTCCAACCATCAACCCAACAGCACCACGGCCACTAAACCAAGTGTCCCCAAGTGCCACGTCTACAGGGTTTTTGATACCTCCAGGGATGGGGACTCCA